TTTAATGAAACGCCAGATGTAACGTGACACACGCCTTCCAAAAAGTTCAACTTTTGTCTCATCAGTCCACAGAATATTTGCCCAAAAGTCTTGAGGATAATCAAGATGTTTGCTGGCAAATGTGAGACGAGCCTTTGTGTTCTTTTTGGTCAGCAGTGGCGTTCGCCTTGGAACTATTGCCTTTTATTATTTCTAAAATATCAAACTTTTTGATTGAAACTAAGCTCATACAGTACTTTTTGAAACTCATTCATCTCGTTATTTCAACATACTGTAGCCATTACGCTGTTATTTAAATGTATCATCATTTTTTATATATTATACTTTAGTCTTTGGTATTGCAATTAAACCTGGAAAATAAAAACTGCTCTCTACTAAAGATTTAAGATCATTTTGGTAGGGTTTGAGATGGATTATACTTGTAGGTGTAGGTGGATCCTGGAATGGAAAAATTTGGGAAGCTCTTTTTACTGATCGCTTCATCGTCCTTTTCCTTTTTGTTTAGGGCCCAGTAAGCTTGAGAGACCCACAATCGTTCTCTACTGTTATAGCAGCAGAATGCCATCCACATGCAAGAGGGAATGTTCACTCTATCGTTTAGTTTGTTTTTACCAGCTATATAGCTCCGGTCAGCACATGAGCTAAAACTTTATCATTATTGTCAGTGCAATGTGTATTCATGCTCTCTCCACTCTCAATTTCCATGCGATTCCAACCGCCGGTTATTATTATTATTGTGCAGTCTTTGTGAAGATAATCTTATACTGTTTAGTAAAAAGCTTTTGCCTGTATATTGTTAGACCTTCATTAAAGGCATGGAATACTGCAGTACATCGTGAGAATCAGGTTTGTTATGCCCACCAGACTATGCAAATAAAATGGGGCAATAATGTTTAAGTCCCTTATGGGGTTAACAATGGTACATACTGATGACTTTTTAAAAGATTGAAGGCCTTTAATACTGTGTTATATTTTAGTTTATTTATCAAATTATGTATGCAGATGATCTTGTGATTTTTAGTGCTGGTTTTTTAGCACCCTCTCACTATTACCTATGTTCTGTGTTTAAACTTAAAACGTATATTTACATATAATGCAAGCAAGAGTGTTGTTATGATCTGCAGAACAAACGAGGATAAATGTCTTCGTCTTCAGAACCCAAATGAAGATATTTCTGATGAAATCCGAGAGCTTTCTGAACCTCCATAGACAACAATGCAACTGAAATGTTTCCAGAAACGTAGTAAGGAAATCGGCAAAATAGTCTGGGTACATTTCAGTTACATTGTTGTCTATGGGAGGGTTATAGGCAAGTAATAATATTTTGTAACTGATACGGAACTTAATAGGTAAGTAGGTAAGTAAGTAATAGGAACTTAAATCCGGAAAGCTCTCGGATTTCATCAGAAATATCTTAATTTGTGTTCCGAAGATGAACGAAGTACTTACAGGTTTGGAACGACATGAGGGTGAGTTATAAATGACGTAAAATTTTCATTTTTAGGGGGACTATCCCTTTAAATTAAATTGCCTGATATTGATCTTACTGTATTTAAGACTAAATATCTCTGCCTTTTCATTACTGAGCAGCCGACAGATGATGAGGTTATTGAAATTGCATTGTATGTTGGTGTGTGTAGATGGGGTGAAGATGTCTTTGTTCTGAGCATATTGCACACCACTGTATACTGCGCTCTTGCGATCAAACTATAAGACAGCCAGCTTACAGAGACTTCAAGTTTTTTACAATGATGCAATGAGAATTTTACTTTATAGTGCAAGTGATATGTTTGTGCATTTGGTGTCCATATGTACCATATGTATAAATGTAGCTGCTGCCTGAATGCCGCTGAAGATTACATTTATTTAGATTATCTAAACAGATAAAATAATGATGTTTTATCAAATAATGAGACCTAACATAAGAGTCAGTTCAATACACTGTCGGTCCAGGTTGTGGACACAGTGGAATCATTGTTTATTGTTTGATGTACACTGTATTTTTTCCGGACCAAGAGTCTGTCATATAGTTTGATGTGTGTGTGTGTGTGTGTGATTTATTTGAAATCACCAATTTTTAATTTTAATTTTAAAATTTTCATGCATTTCAATTAGTTTTTTGGTGACCTGAAGGTGGCGCCAAACCACACATTAATGAACGTGATTATTTGTAGATGCAGCTGTGTGCGTTTATGGGAAGGAACTTTTGAGACAAATGTCAGGTTGTGAGAAGCTCAGGCTCTTCCTCACATCTAAAGGTCAGAGTGATTCAGTGACACCCCTTGCTATTTTTACAAGCAGTTTCCTTTTCTTATGACAAGCACAGATGCCCTCGAGGAGAAATGACCATCTGTCTAATTACTGCAGTCTATAGCACTGCTGACTGATGAATTACTCGCAGCCGAGGAATTCCCCCACGCATGCCAGTCTATTTGAGTGTATGTTGTTAGTACGTTTATCTGAACTTTTTCAAGACTGCATGGATGGTCACCAATTAAGATTTTTATGTATTTAACTTTTGTTTTATTTTATTACATCAAATTTAAATATACATAGATTATTCGATTACAATCTAAATATTTTTTAATATAATATTTTATTTATTTTCATTATTTTGTTAAAATGTCTCCTTTTAATTATTGTATTTTTACCTCTAAGACAAAGTAAATGAGCATTACATTTAGCTGGTGTCAATGTAAATTTAGTAAGTTTTAGTTTTTTGGATAAAGTGGTGAGAAGTTTTTTTAAGTGGTGAGAAAAATAACGCTTAGCAGTGAACATCGATGACTTCACCCCCGCATCGCACTCAGTTTCAGCCAATCAGGTGCGTCCTCGCTGTGGAATTGTTGTGGAAATCAGGCTATTTTCAGATTGTCCACACTGGATTTTCTTCCGGAGTGAGTCACATGGTTTTGACTTCACGATAATGAGCGGTACTGCTAGAATCTTTGACAAGCTGTCACAAAATAACATAGACATTCAGATTAATGTTTAATTTGAGTTGAACGTTAATCATCCTTAAATAGTGTATTACCATGACTTTGTACTTTGTATATCAAGATAGCTGATCAAGCAGGTTGCCCACTTGTTATTTGTTCTTGTAAATATGTAAAATATATATAAAAAGATTTGTTAAAAAATAATATATATATATATATATATATTTATTTATTATTATTTTTTGCATTGTTATATTAACATCGACGATCACTAATATTGTATCAATGATAATAGTAAAATAAAATACATAAAATACAATTTACATGGATTAAGTTATATTAAATTATTTTTATTTATTTTTTTATTATTTTTTTCTTTTTCTTTCTTTCTTTTGGCGTTTTGTGTATGTAATACTTGGCTAAACAATTAATAGTTTAGACAAATTGACTAAATATATTTCGGTATATTTTCGAAATAATTCATCCGTGTTTTAGCGCCCTCTACCGATCGTGTCGCTGTAACTGCAGTGAGAGTCGCCAGAACTGAAAGCTCGCGTGGCTTTGAGCCGCTTGTGTTTGTCTATTTCAGGAAGAGCAGAGGAAACTCGAGCCCAGCACACACCGACATGTAAGGCAGAGCTTTAACCCGCGGCTGTCCGTGCTCTGTCGGACTCTTTCAGGCTTTTAAAGCCACAGTCCGGTTTGATTTCCGCAAGAGTTCTCGCGCCGGAGGAGAAAGAAGATGGTGCTGCGGCTCAGAGAGCAGGTCTGTGATCAGTTACCTGCGCTCACCTGACACACACACACACACACACACACACACACTCACTCACTCACCCACCTGTGCTCTGATCTCACATGCGTTACTTTCATGCATCAATGTCGAACAGCACGCTAGATTTTTGTGCACGTTCTGCCAAGGTTCTCTCTCAAAGTTATGAACAAACGTTCTTCCAGTAGGAATGTGTTAATAGAACGAATTTATTCAGAGTTAGGATATCCGGTCTTATAATAACGTCCTCCAAACGTTAGCACGTTTTATGCATAGTTCATGGAACGTTTTATTTTAGTTGGACGTTCATCTAGCGTTTTTTTTTAATGATACATGTTATAACGTGTTTCAGAGCATTAATGTTCCCATAATGTTTGCAAAATGATAAAATTCCCACAAAAGTTTCCCTAACCAAAAACCGTTCATAAACTGGATGTTTTGAACGTTCAAAAACATTCAGAAATAACGTTTTCATAACTTAATGGGAATTCCAGCAAAACGTTCTTAGAATATATTTTTGTTAGTTCGGTTGTTGCATCGATTCTGCTTATTTTAAGAGTTTATTTTGCAGTTTACTGAGCATTTATGTATGGAACGATATTCCGGACAATTTTCAAAAGGAATTGCAAATTGTATTTTCAATTGCGTTTTCAATATGTGGACGCATAAATTGTGACACAATCAATGAATAATTAAGGTTAGAGTGTCCTATACGGATCCTGGTTATAACAGTATCTTCTCTTCTGTTTCCATATACCTTTCTTTCAATCCCCACTTTCTGTTGAATGATCAGAGCATTCGGCACGGTCGTCTGTGAGTGACGTCACCTCCCAATACAAACACGCCCCCTAGTATAGTCCCGCCCCTGACGATGATTGGCAGCTTTCCATGTAGACATCGGAAATTCAAACGCAAAAGGAATTGCGATTCCATTTGAGTTTTGGCAGGTTAGAGGTTACATGCGCGACGCAGCGAGAGTGAAAAAGCAGACTGGTAATTAATATTGCTATTTAAATATGACAGGCTCGTAACTCCTAAGACATGGGAAATACAGTTGCAAATGGACTTTGGTTTTTCATTTGAAATTTGGCAGTCACTGTGCGTTCGCGAAAGCGAAAATGCAAACGGTAATGCAGGATTTGCAATTGCATTTGGATTGTGTCACAATTTATGCGTCCACATATTGAAAACGCAATTGAAAATACAATTTGCTATTCCTTTTGAAAATTGTCCGGAATATAGTTCCATATTTATGTGCTTTATCATAAAGACACTTACAAGTATTTGTAGGCCTGTGTGTGTGTTTATAAATATAGATAGATAAGGTACATATACATAACAACATTTTAGCTTTTTTTTTTTTAATGAATGTACTCTATATGAAAAAAGCATTTATATTTTGTGACTGGTTGCCATTGTGTGATATTTTTAAAAATAATATTTAATGTTTAAGGGTTCTATATATATATCTATATATCTATGAATAATATGAGGCTGATGTTAGACGTGTGTGGTCTGTGGAGCCAGGAAGGGGAGCGCAGTTTTTGTTTGAATGCTGGTTGGAAAGGGGACAAAGAAAGAATGAGGACTGAAATAGCAGCTGGAGACCTGCTGAAAGAATGGCATGGGCTTGAACTTAACTGGATTACGTTGGTCTGGTTGGTTCGCAGTGACCAAAACCACTATAAAACCATCAAACCAGATCAGCATAGACCAGCGTAAACCAGCACAGCTAAAACAAACTAACCAGTGTTTGTTCCCAGCAGACAATGAAGTGAATTTACAGCAGAGATGAAGCCTCCTCTCGTGTGGTTGTGTTTCTCTCGTCCTCTCGAGGGAGTCTGACTTCATCAAATCCCTTCAGACTCGTTCATGAGAGTTTTACACAAGATCCTGCATGTGGATTCACTTTTCAAGGCTTCTTAGTAGTTATTAATAATGATAATTTAACACTGGTTAATATAATACAGGTTACAAACAATCCACTGCAAACTCTTTTCTGATGCAAAGCACAATTATCATGACTTGGATGTTGTTAAATATCGTTTTTCATGCAGAAATATGTAACAATTTCTAGCATGAACTCAAACTGATGTATTTGTCATGGTTTTTTTTGTGGCATTTTTTTAAATCTTGTAAATATTATTTATATATAT